CCTCAATATTGCAAATTGCAACAACTTCAAACATAAAGGGGGAGTCATTTTCAATGTGTGCCTCCTTTATGCCGCGCCCATTCCTTATTAGTGTTGTAGCAGCTTCAAAGATGGAGGGTGGGTCTTTTCAAGATATTGGATTCGCCTTAGCGCCGGGCACATTTGTTTCAGAAGTTCGCAACAGTTTCAATAATGAAGGGCGGGTGGCTTTCAAAAGATAGCTCACTTTCAAAATGGCCTTCACGCCTTAGCGCCGCAGGATGGAGGATGGAGGGTGGCTCTTTTCCAAATGACTCTATGGCTTCAACACCAACCGAATTTATCTTAACAGCTTGCAGCAGCTTCCTCTAGGATTCGCGAGGTTGCAGTCCCAGGAAGTGTGTTCTGGCACGGTTTAGCATTGCCAGGGCGCAGGAGTTAAGTTGATTCGGGATTTTGCAGTCCCTGGAACGCTGTTCTGGCACGGTTTCGGCTTCTAGGACGCTACAGTCATGTTGATTCGCGGCGTTGAAGTCCCAAGAATGGCGTGATGGCGTGATAGCGCGATTGCAAGATTCTCATACGGTTGTCTCCCAACGGGGCATTTGCGGTAATGAAGATACATAAGTTCGCGTAAGGACATACGAAGTGGATATTTGGAGCGAGGGTGTATTACAGCATCGTTGATGCGTCTCGGGTTTTCACTGGTCCTCCTCTTCATCCTCCTCGTCTCCCTCCTTCTCCTCCTCCTCCTGCCCTCCTCTTCCTTCGCATTCACCTTCCTCGTCGTCTGTGTCGTCGTCCTCCTCCTCCTCCTCTCCTCCTCCTCCTCCTCCTCCTCCTCCTCCTCCTCCTCCTCCTCCTCCCCATCCTCCTCCACTGCATGCCCTGATCCTCCTCCACATCCTCTTCCATGCTCTCGTTCTCTTCACCCTCTGGCAAGCTGGACCCCGTTCGTCCTGCCACTCTGTCGCCTTGGCCCGCACTGCCTTGGTCAATCTGTCACCCGCACTGACAGGACCTGCTTTTTATGGTCCGTACTTTCAATTGGCGTTTTCCCCGCCAGTCGTGCGTCCAGCACGTCTTGGCGCCCGCCGCGCTTCTGTTGCGCCCTCCTCACCCCCATGCAGTTCTGGGCGGTCGATCGGGTGCAGAGTCTGAGAGAGCATTCGATCGGCCTCGACGGCGGCGACTGAGATCGAGCGTTGTTCCACCGAGCTCGAGCCTGAGCTCTTCCTCGGTGTGCTGATCCACGGACGCGGGGCAGCAGCGGGCTGGCGCGAGGCCGACGGGTCCTGAGCGAGACGTGTTCCAGGGGAGACGGGTCTTGGGGTGCTTCACCGCTGCCCGCCTCTGGGGACTCTGCCCGGGCCCCGTGGGGCATTCACGCGGCAATTTGGGGCAGAAAGCGAGTCGTGGGGGAGGGCCCCGGGTCGAGGGCCCGTGTCTCTTGGGGCCCGATTTTTTTCGTGGCAGATGGCGCATCGAATTGGTCGGCTGAAGAGGGCGGCGAGGAGGAGGAGACGGAGGAAGAGGAGGAGGAGGACGAGGACAAGGACGAGGACGAAGACGAGGATGAGGATGAGGATGGTGATGATGATGATGATGATGATGATGATGATGATGATGATGATGATGATGATGATTGTGGTGGTGGTGATGATGGTGATGATGATGACGATAATGACGACGACGATGATACTGTTGATGCTTATGATGTTGATGCTGATGCTGACGATGATGAGCGTAATGAAGAGGAGGAAGCGGAGGGGGTGATGATGACGAGGAGGGAAAACCCTGATCATTGCGATCCAGTTGTTTGTCCTGTCAGGGGATCTGTCGCGGCCAGTCCAAACCCAGGCCCAAACCATTGGCGATGCAGTGGCCAACCAGAAGCAATATTGAGCGATGTGGTGATTTTACGACCGCTTTCGCCAGACGACATGTGGGCAATAGCACGCACAAGCAAGTTGCATGCGGCGACGGCACCTGCAGTTACTAGGTGGTCAGAAAGGCATGCGCACTGGGGGAGGGGAAACTTTAAAGGGAGGCGCCCGGGGGAACGCGATGCGCCATCCTCTGTTGTCCTGGTTCAAGGTGCGCGCACCAAATTTGACCCCCGATATTTTATCGATGCGATTTGAAAAAGGAAAAGGACTTATCATCCTGATCTTCACCACTTGCGTTATTCTTTCATATTTACAGTGCGCAAAGCAGTATCATGTGACGTTACCGCTTTGTCTTCGACATGGTAGCGGAGCTGGTCTCATACTCGTGCGGATGGCTTCCATAGTTGGCCTTAGTAAGTGATTTTAGTGTACGATCCACGTGGCCTGTCCGACCATGGTCCCATACTCCATCCGCGATTCCGTGGATCTTGTAGTTGTTACCTGGATGAACTTAGGAATGACGTCGAACTAGCAAAGCAAAACCAGAGGTTCGACATACGTTCACTGTGTTGAAATATTTCAAACCTTTCAAACTTGCAGCCCTTTCCGGAAGGACAGCCGGACGCCACTTCCTCAGGACCAGTGCGTGGACATATGCCGCACGGAAGCATGCGACGCTTCCAACCACGACGCCTGACCGCACCGACAATGACGGGAACCGCGCGCGGAAATGCGCTTGAACATCACAGCTCACGGCTGGCATTTGCGGGGTTGGTTATGTATGCGATCAGATGTTTGCGCATTGGAGCCAATATTGGATACACAGGCTGTAATACAAGCAGCGACAACAACGCGGACCTAGTTGGGAACGCACTGTTCCAGGAGTTCGCCTATGAGATCGACGCGGGGCTGGATTTAACTGGTGTTCGTATGACCCCGCAGTAACAAGCTGCAGCCCCCCAGCGAGGGCCAGGGGGCCTCGCGCGCAAGATCGCCATGCGCACCCCTCCAGACATCACAGCGTCTGGCGCGAATACCGGAGGAACGCACACCGACATTGTCACGCCCGCCTTGTTCGGCTTCCACGTGCCTGGTAGCAAGCATGTCGACGAAACTCCTGCCAGGTTCAAAATGGCGTGCCCTGGGGCACGATCGGCTGGATTCGGCGCGCCGTACCACATTGCTGTTCCAAGCCCTGGGGGCTGGCACCCAGAGGGCCACGCAACTACAACAACCAGTGAAGCACCAGATGCCGCGCACTCAGGGGGATTACGAAATCCTGCTCGAGCGCATGCGGTTCGCAGGACAGACCACTGAGCGCTCGGCAGGGAAAATCTGATCAGCATTAGGACGAGACCAAGGTGGCAACAGCCAAACGCAACGCGCACATGCCACCGACACCCTCGAGCCTGGAAAAGGGCATAACGCTTGGGCAGGCGAAGTTGGCAAAAGACACCGCTTTGCTTGCCCGTCCACAGGCCTCCAATAACGCAGACGGCCTGTCAACCTGGCACCCTGGTCGCGCCGCGGCAGCGCCCCAGTGCACCTCCACCGATCGGGGCGGCGCGCATCTTATGAAGTTAACATCTGCCGCCAACGGCGATCATGATTCTGGCGAAGACTCCGACGTTACCCCTCCAGTGATGCCGAGCCCGCAGCGTGGACATGCCTTCAAAGCATGGCGAGCTATGGACGAAGGGTGGAACACCTATTCTGGCCACTACAAAAATCTAGGCGGACGCGGGGGGGAATCGAGTCGCAAGCCAGCGCGACGGGCAAGACGGGCGATTAGGCAAAGCGAAAGGCCAGGCAGGGCGGCGACGCTTTCGCGGGCGGGGCATTTGCTGCAATAGTCGTTAAGCTTCGGGCGATCATGGCGACGAAGTATTCTGCGGGGGGCAAAGGCAAAGGTCGCAGAAAGCTTGGAATCATCATGAAATAGAGACGGCAACCCCGGAGGACTTGACGGCAAGACCAAGCGCCATGGTCGCGGTTATGACCGACATGCGGTTCCACATTGCTTGTCAAAGGGTAATGAGCGGGGCCTTGTTGCCGAAGCTCTGTTTGGTTTGCCCGCGGAGGATCGCGTCGAATATTTCTCATTCGAGGACTCCGAGGCGATGAGGGACTTCTTGTTTTCTCCTTTGGCACCCCCGTGGGCAGCCTCCATGAGCTGCAGGCGCGCGCCCGCGGCACCTGCGCGGATTTCGCGCGCCAGCATGAAATGCGCGGCTTCGCGGTCACACTCGAGGATTGGCTTTTGGGGAACGGCGAGAACACCACGGTCGAAGAGGAGTTTTCCGACGGCGCCCCAAGCCGCAGCGACCTCGACGTTGCAGAGCTGAGCGACCAGCGCGGAAGCGCGCCTAATATTAGCACCTTCGATTCGCTTGCGGGGCCAGATGGGAAGCGGGGCGCAAGGCGACCCCCACAAAGGCGATCCAGGGCGCGCTTGGAAACGAGCCCGCGGGCGACGACTCCGTCTCCAGCCGCAGCGGGGCGCCCCGCCCGCCTGCGTTCGCTGGCCATCGCGTGCCATTGCCGCCCCGCGTGGACACGGACGGCGTCGCGAGGCCCTTAGATGGCCCTTGGCGTTCCAATGTTGCCTCCAGGACAATCTCAGGACGGCCCAAGATGGCCTCGCGGCCGCAGACGGCCTCGGGGCAGTCCAAGAGGCGCCCAATATGTCCTGCGGGAGCTCCAAAAGAATCACTTGGAGGGCGCCGGAAGGCAAGACCACGCATGCCCCGAAATCGCGCAATTTCAAAAACTACGGCCGAAGGGCCCCGGACAGACCAGCGCGGCGCCAGAAGCCACCGCGAGACGGCCTCAGGATGGCCCGAGACGCTGCCAAGACGGCCCCGCGAAGACCCCAGAGGGCCCTGAGACGCCCCAGGCGCCATGCAGAGGGCCCCGATGGCACCTCACTACGGCCCAGAGCGGCCCGCCCGACGCCTTCCGAAGGCGCCGGGCGGCGAGCGGGCGCGGCCCCCAGAGCCGGCCCCGACGGCCCCCCCGATGCCCCCCCCAGAGGGCCCCCGCATGCCCCCAGGCCCCAGGGGGCGCCCCAACGCCTATAGGCTCTGCGCGATCCGGGCCTGCACCCCAAGAGGCCCCTTGGGTGGGCTCCATCGGTTAGCCCCCCAGGCAAGCTCAAGAGTGTGACTTGGTGTTCTTTATACGCATCAACGCGCATCATATCTTTCGCATCCTCGGTCGCCGCGTTCGATCGAGCGCGGGAGTAGACATCCACGACGTAGAACGCCCCGCCAGCATCAACGCGTTCTTTCACGAGTGGCACATGCCCCGCGGGGGACTTCACTCCGGCGGCGAGGGCGGCCTGGACAACGAAGCAGCAACCAATGAGTTCCAGCGGTTCGGAACCACCCCCGAAGTCCGAGAGCCTGGACAGCGCGCAACCACCATCGAGGCGAATTGGCGCGCTCTGGGCGACGCCCGCAATTCAAACGAATGCTCGCTGAGGCGATTTTCGCGCGCAGAGCCTTTGCCCCCTACCACGAGGTTTCGCCGCGCCATGCCCGCGGCGGCAGACAACCTGCCGCGCTGTCCACCTTAGAAACCCCAGATCTCCCCAAGACCTCTGAGACCCGGCGACGCGAACGTTAACGAAGCATTCGCGAGGTAATTTTGGAAGCCACGTCGCGAAGACGAACCGCAACGAACTTGCACGCGCGCCCCCTGGCGGCGCGCTACAGACCTGGGCGCGTCGTGGGTCATCGCAGACCTACGGCGACGAAGGGCGACCACGGTGGCTGGGGAGGCACATTTCCCGCGCTAAGGAATGGGCCTGAACGCGGGCAGCTTGCCGCTGCAGCTGGCCCCGGAGAAACGTGGGCCCAATATCCAGACACCCGACGCACCCTCTAAGTGGGGGATCTCTTCACGGGGGAGTTAGGCATGGAGAATGGCCGCGCGGACAGCTGTCTTTTTCACAGCAAATCTAGGACCGAGGGGAATTCGCCAATTACGTTCGGATATGTTCCTGACGGGCAGGGAAGCGCCAGGATGACTGGAGGGTGCGCGCTGAACCCTCGCACATCTTGCCAAGCAGCATCTCGCGACGAACTGCTTTCGAGTACCGGAGGTCATCGCAATGAGACTTGCGACAAGTCTTTCAACACTCCCTGCAGTCATATATGATGCCAGTTGTGCGTTGGTACCCTGCGATAGGGACGTAAAGATTGCATTCCATTTCCATGCGTGCGATGGCCCAGGCCTACGCGCGATCAGTATCACTGTCAATTATCATTCTCCTTTTGGTCCAGTGCTTCAAATCTTCGAACCAGACCGCGAGATCCGATGACGGCCTGGCCAAATTCAGAGAGTTGGCTGGCTCTTCATCGACTCAGGACAAGTCCAGCCACCGACTTGACCCAGAAACCCCAACGCAGTCAGACCACAGCGACGTTCGGTTGTCGACAACATATGAAGATAATAAAGAACACGAAAACGAGGCCATGATGCTCGATGACTGGCACAACGGGCCGCGCCGGGACCTTGGCCCAGTGACACTTTGCGACGGCGACGTGTCTCAGCGCACCCACCGCAATGATCCCCGATCGACGGGCGTTGATCGCAGTGGCGGATCACCGCGGCGACCTGCAGGGAGACATCGCGCGACTGCGCGCTCGGGAGCGGGCCGCGTCGCAACGGCAATGGCCTTGTCCTCCTCGGCCCATCTGACCCTGGTGGCGAGTGTCAGCTGGCTAAAGGCGGGAATGGTACGCCGGTGGAATTGCGCTTCAAAGCCTACGCGGCGACGGCCATCCTTGCGCCCGCGCAGCTGGGCTCCCATCGCTGACGGAGATGTCGCAACCATGCGCGAAAATGGGCGGGCCGCCTTTATTTGCGCGACGGCGGTCAAGGACGACGACCTACTGACCAGGGCGGGTATAGCGGATGCCCACGGGAAGCCAGCGCAGCCTTGCGCGCATAATTGGGCATATGTCTGGACATCAAGCGTTGTGACATGTAAGGTCTGCCTAAAGCTTCAAACGTAATGATATCACGGCGCGCGTATCAGTGGAAGTTCGCGAAAAACGCACAAGGTAGATAAGCGCGCCATTCGCTTGCGAGTTGCATTTAGGGGCTTCATGGGCACTGAGGCATCCGACATCGAACCCCCCTCTGGCCCCGCCCGCTGCCGAGCGCAACGGCTGCTCGCCAGCGAAATGCCAGTCGCAAAAAATGGCCCCTGGCATCCATGGGCGTTGACAATGCGTTCTTCGTGGCCTTGACCTGCGCGGAGCTAGCTGCGGCGACCGGCAAATCCGCAGTGCATTTGTGCGACGGCACCTGCAAGTCCCATCGGCTCCCGGCGCGGCCCAGCCGCGCAGTGGGCGCGCTAGCGGCGGCCCGCAACCTGGGCGAGGCATGCCCCATATTCGTCGCGCGGCATGGGTGGCACTCTGGGCCGCTATCGCGTAAGGCACTTCGGGCTGCGCGTGGGGTAGGTGGCCCTGCCTTTTTAAGGTATCTCCAATTACTGGTGCGGAATCGGGATCTATGTCAGTTCCCCGCGAAGATCCCCCAATCCCCGCCAAGGGCGCATCGCGCGGCCGCATTAGTTGAAGGCGCGAACTCCTGCACGTAAGCATTGCACACAGCGTGCACTGGTGCGGCGCGCAGGATATGTCTGCTGATAGCCGTGCCAAGGGCCGCATAGATAGGGGCCGCATCTTGGAAGTAATGATTTAAGTAATGTCTGGGCGCCAGTCATGCAAGCACGCCGTCAAATATTCCATCCCTTCCGAGGCCCAGCGCAGAAGTCGAAAAAAGGCCCCGCGATGAAGTGCTGAGCGATGCATGTCCCATCTTCTGTTTTGACCGGCGAAATTTCGTGTTTAGGTTGCCATCATCAGCGCCGGCGCCTGTCTGCGCGGGCTCGCCTCGCGAACCCGGAGACGAGCACTGACGCGCGCCATCTGTTCAAAAAGCAGACCGGAGGACGTCGGTGGAGGAAGTTCTAGACGCTCTGTCCTGGGGTTTGCTGGCCCCCACTGCCAGCCCGATGTTCTGGGAATGATCCTGTTTTGGCTCGCTCCTCTCTGGGCCCCAGCAACCCTGGAGCCTCCAGGAATCGCCGGGGCTGCCGACGCAAAGCTTTTTCGGGCCGTTGTACTTGACGCGCTGATTTTTGTTGTGCGCACCTTGAGCTACTATAGGACAGCAGAGTGCAGCGGTGTCCCCCTCCTCCCCGAGTTTTTATCGGAGGCGCCCAGGGGGGCGCCACGCGCGTTCCTCTGCTGTCTCGGCTCAAGGTGCGCACGCCCGATGCGACCGCCCAGAGACGATCGGTGCCTCTTGAGGGGAAGAGGACAAACCGTCGTGATTGTCACCAGCTACGCTCTTCCTTCATAATTACCGTATACAGGGCAGCCATGTACCATGTGGCGTTACCGCGTTGTTTTCGACTGGGCAAATATATTGAGATGCAGGGCCAGATGCCGAAGGTGGATTTGGCAGGACCCCTTCCACACCGCCACTTGATTGTCGACGCGGCGGATGTCATACAGATGCCCACGTTGCATCCACATCCATAGAAAACGGAAGCGCAAGCGCTGCAACCCGCGAGTGGGTGGTCTAGTGTTGTAAAATGGCGAATGCTGCGCAGAATTCGGGGCACCAGGAGGAGCAGTGTCAACATCATGTGTGGGGAGAGTCGGCGACGGAGGACGACGGCACGCAGCATTGCGCATCGGAGGACAAGGAGTGGGCAACGAGGCGCAACAAGACGAGTATAGTTGGCCCATGATTATAATTCCTTTCGCCGCCAGTTGCAAGTATTACACCCGCCGTTGCCCTCGCGTTCAAAGTGGTTTGCTCAAATTTCCTTCCCCACAAAAAAATGTACGATGTCCGATGTCGTGCGTATTGTTTCCGCTTCCCGTCGTGCTGTCTGCATCTAATGATTGTTGATTCGTCCCCCCCTTCCTTCGAAACCGTGGTGGGTGTCTTGGGGGTCTTTCGAAGGTCTCGGGAGCGGCCGTTTTGGAGCCCCCTTGGGGCCTCTCAGGGGGTCGTGGGGCCATCGTGTTGGGGAGGGCTCCCGAGGCCCTTCGGAGTTCCCCCTTTGGGGCAGTCCTTGGGCCCCGTTTGGGGCCTTCTTGAGGGCATCGCTGGGCGCATCGGGGGCCGATTGGGCAATCTCGGGGCCCTCCTTGGCTGTCCTGGGCCCTCCTGGGAGCCGTCTTGGGCCAGTCTGGGGGGCTTCCTGGGCCGTCATGGGCATCCAGAAGCCGGAAATTGCGAGAACGCGAAAACCAGCCAACCACATGTGGGAAGTCCATCTTTGGTGTCCTCTTTGGGCCTCTTGGAACATTTGTGGGCCCCTCTTGGCCCGTCTTGAGGCCATATCGGGTCTCCTTGTGGCTTTTTGGGAATGTTGGAACCAGTCTTGACACGGACAGCCTTGAGCGTTCTTGAGACGGACAGCCTTGAGCGTTCTTGAAGCGGAAGGTCCCGCACGCCTTGTCACCCCCGGCAAGCGGGAGCAGACGGATTAACAGCATGAGCGTGGGTGCAAGGAGCGTGCGTTGTTTTGCCAGTGGGCGCCAGCTAAAGTGGTTACATCCTTCGTCTTTGTCTGTCTGTCTCTCTCTGTCTCTCTTTCTCTTTCTCTCTCTCTCTCTCTCTCCCTATCTCTCTCAATATATATAAATATGCATGTATGTGTTCTCTCTCTCTCTCGCTCTCTATGTATACATGTGTGTATGTACGTCTAGTTGTTTGGTCTCTCTCTCTCTCTATGTCTCTCTCTCTCTCTCTCTCTCTCTTTATCTCGCACTTTCTCTCTCTCTCTCTCTCTTTCTCTCTCTCTCTCTCTCTCTGTCTCTATCGCCATTTGAACTGGAAGGTCTCGCACGCCTTGTCACCCCCAGCAAGCGGGGGCAGGCGGATTACGAGCATGAGCGTGGGTGCATGTAACGTGCGTTTTTTTCTGCCAGGGGGTCGCCAGCTAAAGTGGTTTTGAAGGAGCTGTTGCACGACGTTGCAGCAAGCTCTCTCCCTCTCTCGTCATTCCAGTGTCGGAGTGTACGAGTGTGCGCGCACTGCCTGTTTATAACGAAAAGCTCGTCCCGCCGCGTTTCATAGGTCAGAGACGCAAGCAATATTAATGGGAATTATCCTGGCACTCCATTGTATCCCTGTACTGTGGCTCGTTTGTTGCCTGCTCCATCTCAGAGCTTACCGCCCCCCTTAGGACAACGGGCAATGTGATGGTTACGGGGTGCTGAAACTGATACCAAGCATACTTGTGTGGCAATCGAGACCCAAGCCACCTCAGCCCGAGTCGTTTTGTCGCAAGCCGAGTGGGATCGAGCCAAGTTTGGCCAAGTTTGTTTCGTCCAACCCACCTTGCAAGCGGAGTTTGCGCACCTGTGACGGCGCCTCGTGAATGGCCAAGGCCTTGCCCTTGATTCGGCAGATGGGGCAGCACCGACCAGCGTCTTCATGCAAGTTGTAGCGCTTGCATTTAACACGCTATCGGGCCCGATGTTTTGGGGCCTTTCATTGCGTATCACACATATTGTACAAGACCGTCGTCGCGTTGCACCATGCAGGTGCACTGCTCCGCTGAATGCAAGACAGCAGCTCTGCGACGCCATCAAGAGATACCCACATAGTCAATGGAGTTTCTGAGGGGTCCGTGGGGGATGACCTAGACCTAGACACGTGCGTGATCGAACATTTAAGTCTACCTGGGCCGTGTTGGGGGCCTTGTGAGGCTCTCTTAGATCTCCCATGGGGCTCTTGAGGCAATGTTGGCGTCCCTTCGGAGGTCCTGAGGCCACTCTGGAAGATCTCGGGGCTGTGTGGCGCAGTCCAGAGGCTGTCTTTGGCCGCCTTGGAGCCGCTTGGGGGAATTTTCTCCGGGACGACGATGTTGACAGCTTTTCCCAGCGGGCCAGCTCTCTCTCTCTTCCGCCGAGCTCCCGCTGGCGTCCGCTGGTCGAGGACGCCGTGGGCTCATGACGTTCGGCCTTCACGGGGCCTTCCGCTGGGCTCCGCTGAGAGCAGGGGGTCTGGCCCTTCCCTCGCGACCCGCCAGGCCCCGCGCGTGCAGCGCCTCGCAGAGGAGGGACCGAGGCCCGCGGAAGGCTCGGGAGCTTTCGGGAGGCGATTCTGGCCCCCCCCCCTCGTGAGCCACGAGGCCCCGCTCGCGGAGCGCCTCGCACGAAAAAAAAAAAAGCTCGTGGAGCGCCTCGCATGCAAGCGCCGAGGCCCCCGGAAGCCTCCGGAGCTCTCGAAGAGAGGTCCCCGGCGGTTCCCCCGGGCGGTCCTTGGAGGCCCCGGGAGGCCCGAGGACGTTTGAAACACACCAGCGGGAACACTCAGCTTCGAGCCTCGATCGTGGCCGCCGCCGTCGACGGGGAAGGCTCCGCTGCCGCTGCCGTCGCCGCCGCCGTCGCCGTCGCCATCGCCGTCGCCATCGCCGTCGCCGCCGCCGCCGTCGACGGGGAATGGCTCCGTCGCCGCCGCCGTCGACGGGGAAGGCTCCGTCGCCACCGCCGTCGCCACCGCCGTCGCTCCTCGTCGCTCCTCGCACGTCGTCGTCGCGCCGTCGTCGTCGAGCGTGGCCGCCGCTGCCGCCGCCGCCGCCGCCGCTGCCGCCACCGCGCCGCGCCGGGGGGGAGCCGCCCGCGGCCGCCCGCGGCGGCCAGCCCCGACCCGCGGAGCGGCGGCGGCCGCCCGGGGAGGGCGCGGAGCGCGCGCGGCGGCCGCGGGCCGCTCACCGACGACGTTCGACGGTGGCGTTCGACGAGCAGCGACGACGACGACGGCGGCGGCGGCGGCGACGAGGACGACGACGACGACGACGACGACGACGAGGACGAGGACGACGACGACGACGAGGACGACGACGAGGACGAGGACGACCACGCGGCCCACGCAGGCGAGGGCGGCGGCGGCGACTTCGGCGCCCGCCGCCGTCGCCCGCCGCGCCGCAGAAGCCCCCCCCAAGAGGCGGAGAGGTGGGCGGGAGGAGCCCGTGCTGCCCACCCGCGCACCCCGCCCGCAAGCAGAGCTGGCCCGAGGCGCTGCGCTCGGCGGCCACCCCCACCTGGCATTCAGTCGGGCCTGTCCCCAGGGGGATGTTCGACGAAAAATCAAAAATACCCCCAAAATAGTCAAACAATAGTCCAAAAATAGTCGGGGGACTATTTTTGGAGTATTTTTTTACCTTCTCGGGGTACTTTTGGGGTATTTTGCATTTTTCGTCGAATATCCCCCTGTAGGGGGACAGGCCCGACTTAAACCTGGCAGCGGAGGGGCGGCGGGAGGGCCACGGACCACGCAGCCTCCGTGGGACCCCTCGCGGCGAGCCGAAGAATGCCACACGATCTTGTGCCTGCTTCCGTCGAGCTTTTGTCGGGAGGGTGGCAGCTTCTGTCGGGAGGGTGGCTCCCACGAGGGCGCGAAGTTATTCGCGCTTCGCGGTCCTCGTTCTCTCCCCCTCCTCCTCGTCCTCCTTTTTTCCCTTTGGGGGGGGCGGCGCGAGAGCGCGAAGTTATTCGCGCTTCGCGGAGCGCAAAGCGCGAAGTTGGGAGCCCTAGCTACTTCCATTGAGCTTTGTCAGGAGGGTGGCAGCCTTGCTGGTCAACGATTCAGGCGCCTCGATGGGTGGCTGGGGTAGGGTTCGGAATTCGTCGAGCACGTGCCGAAGTCCGAACTATACACCCCGCCTCCCATCGACTCAGGAGAATCGATGGTTGGTGGGGGCAGTGTTCGGATGTCGCCACCTATTGTCGTCACGGTCAATTTGCGGCCTCAAAAATGATACGGTCAGGAACTTTGGCTCAGCGTGTCGCCGTTCTGGTTTTGGCCCACCGCGCTTCGGCGCGACGCGCTGACCACGTCCATGTCCGCGAGCGTCAGCTTCCCGAGCTTTTCCCAGCCTCCCACCACCCGGAGCGGGACGACACGCTCACTTGCAAGGCACAGCGTGTCGCCAGGGCCGCCGCCGCGAAACGCTATGCAGTTTCCTGACCTTGGGCCTCCCAGATGGGGTCAGAGCAGATGGGGTCGAAGGATCGGATCGCGCCGCATCGCCGATGCACCGGCGATGCGGCTCGACGTGGAGCCCGATGCTCTCCACGCCGACGTCGCCGATGCACGACGGCGTAGACGACGTAGCACCGATGCATCGGCGATGCGGCGCGATCCTCCGACCCCATCTGCTCGAACCCAATTTGGGATGCCTCTAGGTTAGCGGCCTCGCGGACGGGCTGAATTTCGCCATCGACAGCGTGCGAAGAGGCCTTCGTCTAGGATCCCAAGGCCTAGCAGGTTGCACTCAGCAACAAAGTATTGCGCACACAGCTCTCTGTTTGAGATCACTGCGAGCCATCTGGAGGTGGCATACACTGAGAGGCGGCACGAGCACACTTCTGGAGGTGCGCACGGGCTTCGCGCGCGGGCTGGCGCTGGGAGCCCCCCCCTGGCGCGCTCCGCGCGCCGGGGCTGAATTTGCACCGCCACCAGCGTGCGAAGAGCAAGATGCGGCGCGAGCACATACTTCTCCTCCTCCTCCTCCTCCTCCTCCTCCTCCCCCTCCTCCTCCTCTAGCCGTCAGGCCGAGGCAATTTTCAAATGCCTCGCCACCGCGGATAAGCGGTGCTGCCTGGGCTCCGTGTGGCACCGCCTGAATGCGGTGTGGGTCCGATGATGTCAGATCCTTATCCCGCCCGCGTTCCGGGTGCGATAAGGATAGGGCGGAGGGCGGCACCTCCCGCTGGGAGGTTCGTGGTCGTTCGTTGTCGTCCTTCGTGTCTCGTTTCGTCGTCATGTCCGTCGCCCTTGTCCTCTTTGGGAGTTGCGGCACGGCCCTGCATTAGGTTCCAGGGTGGACGTTGTTTGCGCTCCTGGGCCGGAGAGTGGCCCCCTCCCCCTCCCCCTCCCTGCTGCCGCTGCTGTTGCCGTTGCAGCTGTCAGGCCAGGGCTTTTAGTGCCCTGCCACCTCGGCCAAGAGGTGCGGCCTGGGCGCGGGAAGACCCCAGTGGCACCTCCTGGTCTGAGGTGCACCGCCGTTTGACGACCACGGAGGCGGGGCCCGCGGCTTTCCGCCTGTAACCTCTTGGTTGCAGTGCTCTTTGCCGCGGGCACACTGTTGCCGTGCTTGTGAGGGTGCGGGCGCTGGGCAACGCTCCGTGTATTGTCCCTTGGGCGCCGATCCCGAACCCCCGTGCGCCATTTTGGCGCGGGGTGTAGGGCGGTCCTTGGTTTGCTTTCTTTTCCTTGATTTCCTCCCTAAGGCACAGCGTTTCTGGCGCTATTGGGAGTTAGTCAAGGAAAGGAGGCCGGAGGTCAGGTCCCAGCTTGTGTCCGTGATCCCCTCTTTTTGCGCGTGTGCCCTTGGTGTTGGCCGTTGGCCACTTTGGCCGTTGGCCAGGGCACGTTGGCCCGCGCTTTGCTGAGCGCCACGGTTTTGTTCTGCCTTTTGGGCCTGCAACATTCCCTCCTCCTCCTCCTCCTCCTCCTCCTCCTCCTCCTCCTCCTCCTCCTCCTCCGCACTGCGCAGCCAGCAGGCGCAGCGCGGCGGCCACCGACAGCGCCCCTCTGGCGCCCGCCCTCTGGCTGTCGACCCGGCGCTGGTGCTCTTGAGCAGCCTGCCTCAAGCTGCCGGCCTGTACCTTCTCCTCCTCCTCCTCCTCCTCCTCCTCCTCCTCCTCCTCCTCCTCCAGTGTTGTTTGTTGTTGCGCTCGCGGCGTTTCTCCTCGATGTCGGCCCTTGCGGGGGCGGCTACGACGCTGCGCTACGAGGCCACGCTGCGGCGCCCTACGGCAATGTCACGGGTGTCCGCAAAGCATGTCGCGATTCTTCCATGTCACGGTTTCAATCTCTCTTCGCGAGGCCATCAAAAACCGATCCAGGCATGGAAGCTATCCCCGAGGAAGGGGTCGGGACCTCCCTGAGGCCGCAGATTGAACAAATCAAATCACCCCAGTAAAGCACCTCAACGGCAGCAAAGGTGCAGAGGCGGGTCGAGGAGTAGGAGGTCGGCTATACATAGGACAGGGCTGAGAGTACGGCCACAGTGGATTGTGGCCGTCCGGGCCGACAATGTAGCTGGGCAGTGAGGCAAGAGCGCGATTCCTGTATACATCTTAAGGACGCCTCCGGCGAAGCAGGTGCGGGACCAGGCGTCCTGCGGCTCCACATCCCCCCCTTGTGGGCCTCGTCCGTGGTCCGTCTTCTGCCTCTTGCAGGCCCCTCTACAGCCGGGGCCCTGAAGAAGAAACCCTTTTCGTTGGGGAGGGGCTCCGTGCTCCTTGATTGCTTTACAGTTTGCCTCAGGTTTTCCTTAGGTTTTCGATGTGAACTTGTGGACAGAAGGGGCCTCGTCCCTTATTTTGGGTTCCTTAGGTCAACGCCCCGACTGTAGCGAAGCGCGATTAGGGAGCTACCCCGAGGAGGGGGTCGGGACATCCCTGGTGCCGCGGATGGAACAAAAACATATCCGCGGACGTCGGAGAAAAAAAAAGACGCGGGGGGGAGGGGTTGGCGGCTGGGCGGGCGGGGGAGCGCCCGGGAGTTGGGGAAAGCCTGCCCCGCCCGCCTGCCGCACTTCCCCTGCTGCGTCCGTCCACGATCGCTTCCCTTCCTGCTACCCCGGAGGAAGCAGTGCCGATACCGCTACCCTTCTCCAGTTTTCCCCCTTGTTCGGCCTCCTGGGAGGCCCTCGTCGCCACCGCTGGATTCGCCTCGAAATTCTGGTCAGAACGCACCCCGGGAGAGGTCCGTGGAGAAGCGGTCTTGGTACCTCCGTTCTGCCTTTCCCTCTCGCCCCAGCCGCCCTTTGCAGAAGATCCCAGCGCACTCAGTACCACTCTCCGTAACTCCCCTTGCTGACCAGAGCCGCAAGCGTGCTTTGGTTACAGGTTGTTGCGCCCCGCTTGGGCGGCCAAACCTTCCCCAGTGGGCACCCGAACCCACACGCTGGACGCCCTCACTCCACACACACGGGGCCCGCGGACTGGGGCAATATTCACGTCGCCGGATGCTTGGGATCCGCTTCCCCCCTTGGATCTGCGCGGAACACGACGCCCCTGCAGGCAGAGCAAGGGCATGCCTGATCGCCGCGCGGCGGGCGAACCTGGAACTTTTGCCAGTGAAGCGACAGCATTGCGAGCGCCGCGCGCTTCCATCGCAGTGCGCCTCATTCGCCTCCACATCGCAGGGTGGCTACATCGCTGGGAACTCAGATCATCATCTTCATGCAAAAGCCTTCGCCGCACGGGGGCCGGCAAGCGAGCGTTCACGAGCCGTGTATGCCGCATGCTTCGCCAAGAACAGCCAGAGTTGCCTCCATTGACGCGCAGGGCCTACCCGCCCCACGAAGACGGCCTGCCCCGTGCAGCGTGCACAATGAAGCAATACGGCCGTCGCTCACGCCCCTCGCCGCTCTCCTTCGGCCCCTCCCCCCCCCTCTTCTGCGAGCTCCTCCCGCCCCCCGCCCTTGCTCGGAGCGGCCCCGCTCGGAGGGGCAGCCCCCGCCCTCGGGTGCGGCGGGCCATGGGCGCCCCGCTCGGCGCCCGCGAGCGCGCACGCGGCGGGCCCCTGCCGGCGCCGCGGAGGACCCCCCCGGGGCCGGCCGCGACGAGGGCCTCGTTGCGCCACCGTCGCGGTCGCCGCCCGCGCCGCCGCTGCGGTGCCGTCGCCGGCGCCGCTGCTGCGGCGTCGCCGTCGCCGCGGTCGGTGCCGCCGCCGGCACTGCCGCTGCCGCCGCGGCCGCGGTCGTGGCTCAGAGTGACGAGGGGGCAGGGAGGAGGAGGAGGAGGAGGAGGAGGAGGAGGCCCGCGGCAGTGCGGCTCGAGGGGTAGATTCGCGGATCTCTTGGGGGTGCTTCCGGCCGGGTGTGCCCAGAGGCGTCCCTGGCCCAAGGCGCCCCCAGGATTGCCAGGCAGGCCCCCCACGGCCTCCAGAGCACCCCGCACGTGGCGCGGGGGCCCCTCAGGGGCCACAAGGTGGAGCGAAAGCTGGGGACACCTTGGGTCAGGGACCAATAGTGAAGAGAGGGGGCCTCCCTCGTGGCCATGGCTGGACGCAGCTCGGACGACTCCAGTCGGTTCGGCGTTGGCGCCAGCGCGGCGGCGACGCCCCGAGGTGAGGCTGCATGGCTTTTTTTTTGGGGCTTCGGGTGGCTCATCGTGGCCCTGCTGCCTGCGCGAAGAAGGGGCACCTACAACCGCTGGGCTGCTGTCTCGTCTTTGCTCCCGGCTGCTAAGACGAAACATCACACGTTTATGTTGACGACTGGTGGGCGCATATCACGTTTCAGCGATGACCCGCCGCCGCAACAACGCAACAATGGTTGACCAGCGTGGGCCCTAAGCAGCGTGTGTGTGTGTGCGTATACCAACATAGGTTGTGCAATCGACGGAGAGCAATATATATATGTGGTGCAATCTATGCTGTAGAAGATATGCTGTGCAACCTGTGTTATGCAGTGAAAATTGTGCGATCCACGGGGTCAACAGATGTTGCGCAATAGCTGTGGAGCAAGTTATGTGGTGCAGTCAACGTGGTACAATCTATGGTGTGCAATTCACTTGCTCAACTTGAAGCTGTCCTCTCCACTGCTCGTGCAAACATCCCACCCTCCCACCCGCAACTTGGTCGCAAGACCTCTGAAGACCGTGACGGTGGGTACCAAATGGCACTTGGCAACGACACCGACGACGACAGCGACGACGACGACGACGACAACGACTACGACGACACCGACGACGTCTCCAACGACTTCGACGACGACGACGACGACAACACCGACGACGACGACGACGACGCCGACGCTGACAACGACGACGACGCCGACGACAACGCCGACGACGACGACGCCGACGACGACGACGACGCCGACGCCGACGACGACGACGACGGCGACGACGAAAACGACGACGACGACGTCGCCAACGAAGGCGACGACGAGGAGGGAGGACGAGGACGGCGACGACGACAACGACGAGGGCGACGGCGACGAAATAGGAGGGACAACGACGAAACGCCGACGAAGACGACGAGGGTGGAAGGACGATCACGGCGACAACGACGACGGAAACGACGACGACGCCAAGACGACGACGACGACGAGGAAAGACAGAGGACGACGACGGCGACGACGACGACGGCGACGACGAGGGAGGAGGGCGGACGGCGACGACGACGACGACGCAAGAGCGCGCGCGCACGCTTTTGTTCAAAATCCGTGCTGCGAAACCGTGTCTTTTGGTATGTTGTTTTGGACACGCGAGTTTGACATCTTTCCGAAACCAAATGTTTTTGAAGGATTTCGGCATGCGCGCGCGACGACGCGCGCGTCTGCACTTCACCCCATTTTTTGCAGAGGATTCTCGCGACGGTGCGCGCGCAAGGGCGTTTGAAAGATTTTGACATGCGCGCGCGAAGCCCGTTTGGTAGCATTTGTTGAAAATCTTGAAAACCCACGGTTTGCTTAAGATTTCGCAAGATCGCGCGCGCATGTTTTTTTAGACATCAGTGTTGCGAAACCTTGTTTCTTTGTATGTTTTTTTGTAAACTCGATTTTGAAATCCTTCCGAAACTGAAGATTCTTGAAGGATTTCGGCATTGGCGCGTGACGACGCGCGTGTGCACTTCGTCCCATTTGTTGCACGGGGTTCTTGAAAACTTCTGGTTTTTGATGAACGAGAGCGCGCACATAGTATTTGTTGCATGGGATGGCGGGGGGGAGTGATACCGGTTTGGCTGGGACAGTATGAACTCATATGTAGGATGGACATGTGTGTAGAATTAATATGAAATCACAATACCCAAGGGGGATCGTTAGCTCCGGGGGGGGGGGGTAGAGTCTATTCTTGTTTTGAAAGGAGAACCAATCACTTGCTCAACTTGAAGCTGTCCTCTCCACTGCTCGTGCAAACATGGGTACCTATTGTGGCAGTGGACGCCATGGGTGTTGGGTTGATCAGTTGCTTTGCGGATTAGTTGCCAGGCTAACATCTCGGTTGGTTGGCTGGCCGTCTGGAAAGACGGATGGCTTTATTGAGGGCATCATTGACCGTCTTGTGGGTATCGGACGTCTTGCATGCCTGGAGCCCAAAAAGGCGAGTGTGCCACACAGTACATATCATGTACTAAGCTTTTACGTTTTTGCATTTTTTAAGATTTGCATCTTTCATTTTATGTATATTACATTCAAGAGCGGAAGGGGGATCCGTGACTTCAGCCATGTTGGCGGCATTCTAGGGTGTCCTTTTTGGGCATTCTTGGGTGATACGCCCGCGCCCCCCTGAAACCACGCACCACAAGTCACTCTCTCGCAGAGCCACTCGTTTTGCCCAGTGATCATCGCGATGTGGCAGGCATGGCGTTTGCGCCTTCCACGAGCGGGTTTGCCAGGGGATCTATCAAGGGCCCAGTGGTGCCCAGATTGTCGTGATCTTTGTAGTGGGATGGCCGTTTATTGTGCCCCTATCCATTATGTATGTTTCAAGCATTTTGTAACACACCTTCACACTTGTGCTTCAGCATATCACAGCACCCTCCTCGGTGCCATGAAGCCGTCGGACATATCGGCGTTGTTCATCTTGCTAGGCTGCGCAGGAGCCTTGCACTTCGACAGGGCCGAGCCTCGCGCGGCGACCGCCACTGACACAGCTGCCACCTGGGAGAAGCAGGCGGCGCAGTCGACTCTGACAGTGGAATACCTGATTGTCGGCGGCGGCGGTGGCGGCGCTTCCGGAGGCGGCGGCGGCGGCGGTGTGCTCCAAGGGACGGGTTTGGTCATGTCTGTCGACGAAGTCATCACGGTTGGCGCAGGCGGTCTCGGAGGTTCGGGGGGCAGCGGCAACACTGCGGAGGCGACGAACGGAGGAGATTCTTCGATCGGCTCTCTGGTGGCATATGGCGGTGGCAGGGGTGCGGGGGGCAGTTCCAGGACTGCCTCCAGCGGAGGCTCAGGCGGTGGAGGCGCCTACGATCTGCCGAGTGTTGCCTACGCGGCTGGGGTCGCGGGACAGGGCTACCGGGGTGGGCGCAGCGACAGGGGGGGGTACGGCGCAGGCGGTGGCGGCGGCGGTGCGGGCGGCGTTGGGAGCGACGCGCCCCAGCAGCACTACGGAGGAGATG